TGGGTTTGAACGCATCAAAATAAGAAATATGAAATTCGCAGATTTATAAAACCGTTGTTAAAGTTACGCAAATTTTCAACTTTAGAGTAATCAGTTTTAACCCAAATGTCAAATTTGAAAAAACATAACTGCCTTGATCTAAATAGTAGTGAAGTTTTCATTCGTTGGCAGGCCTAGGGGCGGAGCTTAATTACAAAATCCATATTTTCTTACAAAAATTTACCATTTTAAGCGTGTTTTAAGTTTATAAAATCCAAAAAAAATCATCACAATTGAGATGAGGGAGGTGGGTGGGGTTTATATTTTGCCTTTTTTTTTTCTTAATATACATAGCCATCTTGTCACAGCAAGAAACTTAAAACATGGTTAAAATGGTACATTTTTGCAAGGAAATATTGAGTTTGCAATAATGGGGTGGAGCTTAATTGCAAAATTGTTATTTCCTTAGACAAGTTTTCCATTTTAAACATGTTTTAAGTTTCATGTTGTAAAAAGAACTCTACAGATATTAAAGCAAAAAGGCAAAATCTAATCCCGCCCACCCGCCCTGTCTTAACTCCGATGATTTTTTTTTATTCACCGTGAACCAAAGGGGCAGACCATAACTGCAAAATACTTATTCCTGTACAAGAAATTAAGAACATGTTTTTTAGTATCGTGTTGTTCAAAGAATACTATGTAAATTAAGAAAAAGAGGGAAAATATAAACCCCGCCCACCCACCCCATCTCAATTCTGATGATTTTTTTATTCTTAGAAACTTAAAACGCGTTTAAAATGGTAAATTTTTGTAAGGAAATGTGGATTTTGCAATGAGGCTCCGCCTCTAGGTCTGGCAACGAGTGAAGACTTTGTTACTACATATTCAGGTCAGGAATAGGTAGGGCTTAGTCTTTCGCTTTAATTTTTTCCCAATATACATTTTTTCTTTGAACACGTGGCTCAAAAACATGTTTTTAATTTCTTGTAAAGAAATAAGCATTTTGCAGTTAAGGTGAATCCCCTTGGTTCAGGGCGAATGAAAAAAATCACCACAATTGAGATAGGGCGGGTGGGCGGGCTTACCTTTTTACTTACTTACTTAAAACATGTTTAAAATGGAAAATTTCTAAAAGGAAATATCGATTTTGCAATTAGATTCCGTCCTATGATTCCAAAACCCATATTTCCTTGAATAAACCATTTTAATCAAGATCGCTATGTATATTAAGAAAAAAAAGCAAAATATTAGGAAGTATTGTAATGAAGTCGGTCGGCCGACTCTACTTTTACATTTTCTCGACGTTTCATGACCCCTAGAGTACGAAGAAATGGGTCTCCCGTTTCCGTCTATCTGTCTGTCTGTCCGTCTGTCTGACGGCCCGATTTTTTTTTATGTTTTTGCAGAGTGATTTTTCTGTAAGTTTTCTCTGGCTGTGCGAGTGAATTGTCGTTGTCACCCTTTGGTGCTTGGTACCCTTCTACTTCCGGAGGCGTTAAAGAATCCATTTCTATACAATTCTCCATTTTAAATCTTGAGTCAGGAAAAATTTGACATTCAGAAATATGACACATCCGGTAAGGAGGGGTATATCTGGTTGCCTAAAAATTAATGGCATATCCTCTAAGAAAATAAAAGATGGGTGGGGCTAGTACTTGGCAAGATAAGACTGATTTTGCCAAATGGCATATCCTTTAATAAAATAAAAGGCGGGTGGGCGGGGCTAGTATATGGCAAGATAAGACTGATTTTGGCAATCTGCCTAAAAAAATGAAGGGCGAATGGACGGGGTTCGTACTTAATAAGTACTTTAGCAAAATGTTTTTTTTTGCTAAAGGTTTGTCGTTGTTGATCTACAATTTAAAAACCATGCTGATCCTCTGATATATATCAGAAAAGTTATACAACTTTTCACAACAGGATAGATAGATAGAATGTAGGATTAATTCGAAAATTTTAGAAAAATTAGAAAAGAGGAAAATGTAATTTTCAACTTTAGTAGCATCACCTAACTTCAAGGTAGAACAGATCTTAGATTCTTTCCATTTTGTAAGGAAAAAGACTGGAAAAACGACGACAAAATAATGACAACAAAAATTTTGAAAAAAGGCGATACAAAAAAAATCCAAAAAGCCAGAAAAAATTAAAAGCGACACAAAAACGGTCCAAAGAAATATGAAAAAAAAAATCGATAAATAATGAGACAAAAAAAGGCAACAAAAAACCTCGAAAAAAGGGACAAATATCGGATTAAAAACAAGGGTGACAAACATGATATCCACATTTTCCCATATATTTCAGAGAAACATTTTGCCCCGCCCACCCACCCATTCTACATTGCGTTGATTTTTCATTTAACAAGGATAAGAAAAAGAATAAAAAAGGGAACAAAAAAAATGTGAAGAAATCGCGCCAGAAAAGATCAAAAACCGCGACAAAAGGGGGATAAAAAATAAAAAAAACATTAATAAAAGCATTAATAAAAGCAGATATTCCTAAAATAAATACAAGATTTGACAACATATATGTCTAATAAAAATCCGGACGCCAAGCAGACGAACAGACAGACAGACTGAAACGGCACTTCTATTTCTTCGTACTCTAGGGGTCATGAAAGGTCTAGAAAAGTCGACCGAGGGACTCGATTACAATACTTCCTTCACTGACGCTCGGGAACTAAAATATCAAAATACCGACTTTAACCTAAAAATAATATACTTAAAAACAACGAAGGAGAATGCAAAACAGAGGAAGGTGCAGTCATAAAATATATATGTGTTCTATGTGAAAACACCGGAATAAGGTAGGACATTAAAACATTCTAGAATTTTTTTATAACAATTATGACAAGTTTTGCATAGGCAACATATTATACACCCCAGAGACAACTTCGTCCAATTTAGTTTTTTTTTAAATAAGTAATCATAGCAATCACAGAAAAAGTTTTCTAAACGCTTGATTTGAGGGAGTCACACTTTCCCGATATCAATAGCATGTCTGTTTTTTCAGAATTCGAAAACATTTCAAAGCAAACGAAAATTGAAAATATTTGGCTGACAGAAATAATTTGTCATAATTTTTGTTCTGATCATTGCTATCTATGCGTTCATTATTATTTAAAAATAAAAATAAATCCAAGCTGTTTATGAAGCGTAAAATGCAGAACTATTCAGGTGTGAGCAGATAAAATGTACACTCTGTATATAAATTCTTTGGAACAATTTTTTTGTTTTACCTTTGATTACAGGTAAATAAAATGAGTTTTTTTCATATTTTGATATACTTCTTGAAAATAATACTGTCTAAATGAGCTAAAAGTACTCTTTGCAACACTGGACCAAATATTGTATACAATGAAAACATCATCAAAAGTGGGTGAAGTGGCTCCCCCTGTCGCTGCCGGTCCCAATTCCAACACGCAAGTGTCATCCATATGTATTTATCCCATTTATTTTTGAAATTGTATCGATCTGGTGCGTCTAACCCTCTTGCTCCCATTTAACGCACTAAAGCTATCCTCATGCTCCACTACATCGTGTTGTAGAATAATATTCATGAGAGCAGGTAGCTGTTCTGTCATGCATCCACAATTTATTCACAGCATGGCCGTTGTATGAATGAAACGTACAATATAAACAATGCTTACGTTAATAAATGTCTCTCGGCATAACGGGATTCATTCTGACGTGATGAATAAGCGATGCCGCGATAATCTCCCCCTATTTCAGGATTTTTGTGGATTAATGAAGGTTTTAGCGCCTCCGGGAGACGGCTAGTTTTGTCTTTATTTTTCGCCGTTTTGCGGATAGGAGAGGTGCGAATTTATAGCCAGACACTCGTTTAACCCTGACCATAAATGGTAATTAGATGAAGTCTGAAGTTATAAAATATGCGCTATCTTGTTTTCATCAGGAGGTAATTTAAACTTAAACTGCTCCATTATACTCAAGCGCCGTTATGATTAACGCCGCTGTTGGGGAGGTTCGAATCGGGCGATACAGAATGTGCAGTATCAGCGCGATACGAGTAACAAAAGATATAAAAAAGCCCGGGTTTAAAAAGAAAACAAGCTGTCCACATTTTGTCACTGAACTAAAAACAAGCTAAAATTATATTTGCGATTATTTAACTTTTATTGTTAAATGTTCAACACAGCGTGAATTTTATTTCTGCACTCGGTGACACATCTAAAATTTAATTTCCGGTTTTGTTTATATATGTATGTGCATTTAAACGGAATTTTTTTGGGGTTAATTAAAGTAATGGTTCATAAAATGAATTGGTACAAAAAATGTACGCTTGTAATAAAGTCTTGGTAGTTGAGAGCGTCGAATATAGTGCTTGTTTGAAGAGGGGATCAACCCTCGCATGCAAATTGATTTCAATTATCTCTACTTAAGCTGATTCACCTTTTACATCTCCCGACAACAAAGACAACCTTTGTCCAAACATCCATAAAGTTGCCTCATCCATTTAACTTTACTTGTAACTCAGCAATTCATGTTCGGAATGATCTGAATTATGATAAAGTGAGATTGGTGGAATTCCATTAGCGTCCCAAAATTTATCTTGATTAAGTCTTTTAAGATTAGTAGTGCTTTTAAGCATATCCGACTGACGCTCTTCACGTTACGTACTAGTGTTAGTCTTAAAAAGCTGACAGAAAACTTATAGAGGATTACGGAGGTCGATTTATCAGGGTATTGAAAAGTGGAAAACAGGCTGACATGTTTTCCGATGTCGTGGAAGAACGAAAGGATGTGTTTTTGTCGAACGGGAAGTATTTATTTGTGTTCCTGTCATCAACTCGGCCAGTCCCAGGGGTGTTCGGAATGGTTGATAAAAATTGTGTGACGCATTGCCGTCGCTTGGTTTTTTAGCTAAAAACTTTTAAACCAAGCTATTTGGGAACTAGGATGCAATAAGCGGTATTTTATCGAAGTGTGGAAAATACCGAGGTCGTGATTGTAGCCAGCTGCGTCTGACGCATGCGCCTATTTCATTGGTCCACATGTTTGACAGTTGTTTAATGGTCGTGTCAGTGGGTCATTGTCAATGTCACAAACCACGAACTAATAAATAAAAATAAAGTCGCAGTGCCAATTTTTTCAGCGAATAAGGTTTGTCCTTTAACTATTTTAATCACGAAATAATTTCTAGTAATCTCTCAAGGTTATAACACTGAACACCAGAATGAGTCAGTTCCTGAGACAAAAAATATGTTTGTATCGCCTGTCCCCAGTCAGTATTGATCTGATCGAGCCAAATCTGTACCTAGGAAGTCGTTCGGCCGCCGAAGATCCAGAAACCCTAAAAAAATACAACATAACCCACATCCTAACAATCGACGATATTCCACTACCTGATGAATTCACGAAGAAACAAAATTTAACCACAAAATGCATCTGCCTCAGTGACCAACCCAGAGAAGACCTGTTGTCCCATTTGGACGACACGTACGCCTTCATTTCCGAAGGCCTGTCGAAAGGATCCGTTTTAGTCCACTGCTTCTTCGGCGTGTCTCGCAGCGCGTCCCTCGTTATTGCATTTATTATGAGAAAGCACCACATGCCGTATGAAAGAGCGTTCGAGAAAGTGCGGCGGCGCAGAAACCGGGTTTGGCCAAACACGGGATTTGTTACTCAGTTGAGACTGTACCAGGAAATGGGGTACAAAGTGGACTCACTGTACCCCAATTACAAAATTTACAGATTGCACAAAGTCGCCAATCAAGTGCGCAAAGTCCGTGCTGTGCCACATGATTGCATGGATGTGATTCAGGATGACCCTGGATTGGCTCCATTGGCACCGGAAGCCAAGGTTTTTTGTTGCAAGGGGTGCAGTAGGGTTTTGGCAGACGAATCACACTTGATTCCTCACATGCACCAGGGGGAAATTTGTAATTTGTTGTACTTTGTTTTTCCCATTGCTTGGATGGATTGCTGCAAGACTGTTGAAAGAGGGCTGTGTTGCCCGAAGTGTAATGCAGAAGTGGGATCATTCAACTGGAATGTTGCTATTCGATGTCCGTGCGACGCTACAAAGAATCCTGCTTTTTGCTTAAAACCAGATGGGGTGAAATTTATTAAAGTTTCCAAACTTTGACTTGCGTTTCTGTTTTTTTTGTTATATACGTTTATTTTTGTTAGGAGAGTTTTTATATTTTTTTAATTCTTGGCCTAATAACCTCCCTGGTATTACATAGCCAAAAATATATAACGTTGTGAACTATTTATCCAGTCCATTTTTATAGAAAATAATTTATATCAGATTTTTATATTAATAAAAAATATGTGATATGTATGTACATACATACATTTGATTTTTTTTTACAACCTTTGGAAATTAAAATAAAGATATGCGTATTCTACAGCATTCAGAACATACAAAGTACGGCGTTCGTCCATAAAACTAAAAAAAAATCGGGATATCTATGGTAAACAATAACGGCGAAAACCGCAAGTGTAGAGGTGTTACTTTATAAAAGTTAAGTAACGTGTACTAAGCAAAATTTTAATATGACGTCATTTAATTTTTGGTGGGATAGTTAGACTACTTTTGGTCACCATTTTACCATCTAGATATTCATAAGATACTTATAAAACTTCCACAACAATCAGTCCAGTAGTTCCGGAGATTACAACAATAAAATCGCCAACAGACTACAGACAAAAAAAAAGGCTAGACTTTTTCGTAGTAAATCCAGTGATGGTAAATCCTTTAATTGAATTCTTTGACCGTTTTTGGAGTGCCCTTTCAAAATTTCCTAAACACATTTTCTTGTGGATTTCGACTTCTAGAAGTTGTTTTCGGCTTTATTTACTTATTTCGAAAATTCCAACAATATTTCCATAGCTAATAAAATAAAAACTGACGATTTTCAAAATATTAAAAAAAAAATTTTCCCCACCAACAATTTGATGACGTCACAACTGCACACCCCCGAATATTTATTATACGTGTTATGTCTATTAAAATATCTATGAAAGTCTCTCGTTTTGCCATGAACACTTTTTTATTAATAAATTGGGGGTGACTGTCTCTAAAATTTTTCACCAACATTTTACCATTGTGACACGGAGGACGATTTTTTATTGAATATTCAACCCAATTTATTATTATTTTTATTTAAAATCAAATAATGGAGTTACTGATGGTGGGCACTTTCGGAACAGGACCCGATTCCAGCGCAATTCCGCGACTAGACGCACGGTTTCCAAGGTACTGGTGTAAACAAAACGTCTAAATAAGACATGATTTGGTCTCCGTCTCCGCTTTTATCAGCACTTCATCAGCAATAACATATCATATATCCAAGAGATAACATCTTTAGAGTAAGTGGATGAAGTTTTATACAAGTGGAGCGAGATAAAAACAATTCTTTTGATGATTATGAGTATGACACAAACTGTGACACAAATTTCCGGATATTTTTTTAAATATTAAAAATTACTATTTTGCCATGTCTAGTGTAATTTTGCGAAGCACGTACCCTTATGCCCCCCTGGAAATTACCCCACTTTCTCGAGAAGATGAGAATCGCCGCTCTTTATCTAAAAATGAAACGTTCTCGGGGGTCCTAACTGTCTTTTTTAAAAATGGAAAACCTTCTCGGGTGCCCCAAATCTCTTTTTTTTTTGTGAAACCTCGGGGGGCCCAAATGTCTTTTTTTTAACTTGAAACTTTCTCGAGGCTCCCAACCGTCATTTTTAAAAATGTAAAACCTTCTCGGGGGCGTCAAATGTCTCTTTTAAGAATGTGAAACCTTCTCGGGGGTCCTAGCTGTTTTTCTTAACAATGTGAAACTTTCTCGGGGGTCCTAACTGTCTTTTTTAAAAATATAAAACCTTTTAGGGGGCGCTGAATATCTTTTTTAAGAATGTGAAACCTTCTCGGGGGTCATAACTGTCTCTTTTAAAAATATAAAACCTTCTCGGGGGTCCCAACCGTCATTTTTAAAAATGTAAAACCTTCTCGGGGGTCCCAAATGTCTTTTTTTTTTAATGTGAAACCTTCAGGGGGATCCTAACCATCTTTTTTAAAAATGGAAAACCTTCTCGGGGGCCCAAATGTCGTTTTTAAAAATATAGAGCCTTCTAAGGGGCGCCAAATATCTTTTTTAAGAATGTGAAATCTTCTCGGGGGTCCCAACTGTCTCTTTTAAAAATGTAAAACCTTCTCGGGGGTGGCAAATGTATTGTTTAAGAATTTGAAACCTTCTCGGGGGCGTCAAATGTCTTTATTAAGGGTGTGAAATCTTCTCGGGGATCCTAACTGTTTCTTTTTAATGTAAAACCTTCTCGGGTTCCCAACTGTCTCTTTTAAAAATGTAAAACCTTCTCGGGGGTCCCAACCATCATTTTTAAAAATGTAAAACCTTCTCGGGGGCCCAATTGTCGTTTTTGAAAATATAAAACCTTTTAGGGGGCGCCGAATATCTTTTTTAAGAATGTGAAACCTTCTCGGGGGTCATAACTGTCTCTTTTAAAAATATAAAACCTTCTTGGGGATCCCAACCGTCATTTTTAAAAATGTAAAACCTTCTCGGGGGTCCCAAATGTCTTTTTTTTTCAATGTGAAACCTTCTCGGTTGTCCCAAATGTCTCTTTTAAAAATGTAAAACCTTCTCGGGGGCGGCAACTGTATTCTTTAAGAATTTGAAACCTTCTCAGGGGGATTAAATGTCTTTATTAAGGATATGAAACCTTCAGGGGGATCCTAACCATCTTTTTTAAAAATGTAAAACCTTCTCGGGGGTCCCAACCGTGATTTTTTAAAATGTAAAACCTCGGGGGTCCCAACCGTCATTTTTAAAAATGTAAAACCTTCTTGGGGGTCCCAAATGTCTTTTTTTTTCAATGTGAAACCTTCTCGGGAGTCCCAACTGTCTCTTTTAAAAATGTAAAACCTTCTCGGGAGTTCCAACCATCATTTTTAAAAATGTAAAACCTTCTCGGGGCGCCAAATATCTTTTTTAAGAATGTGAAATCTTCTCGGGGGTCCCAACTGTCTCTTTTAAAAATGTAAAACCTTCTCGGGGGCGTCAAATGTCTTTATTAAGTGTGTGAAACCTTCTCGGGGATCCTAACTGTTTTTTTTTTAATGTAAAACTTTCTCGGGGGTCCCAACCGTCGTTTTTAAAAATGTAAAACCCTCTAGGGGGTCCCAAATGTCTTTTTTTTCAATGTGAAACCTTCTCGGAGGTCCCAACTGTCTCTTTTAAAAATGTAAAACCTTCTCGGGAGTCTCAACCATCATTTTTAAAAATGTAAAACCTTTTCGGGGGCCCAGTTGTCGTGTTTAAAAATGTAAAACCTTCTCGGGGGTCCCAAATGTCTCTTTTAAAAATGTAAAACCTTCTCGGGGGTCCCAACCATCATTTTTAAAAATGTAAAACCTTCTCGGGGGTCCCAAATGTCTCTTTTAAAAATGTAAAACCTTCTCGGGGGTCCCAACCATCATTTTTAAAAATGTAAAACCTTTTCGGGGGCCCAGTTGTCGTGTTTAAAAATGTAAAACTTTCTCGGGGGTCCCAAATGTCTCTTTTAAAAATGTAAAACCTTCTCGGGGGTCCCAACCATCATTTTTAAAAATGTAAAACCTTCTCGGGGGCGGCAAATGTATTCTTTAAGAATTTGAAACCTTCTCAGGGGCATCAAATGTCTTTATTAAGGATATGAAACCTTCAGGGGGATCCTAACTATCTTTTTTAAAAATGTAAAACCTTCTCGGGGGTCCCAACCGTGATTTTTTAAAATGTAAAACCTTCTCGGAGGTACCAACCGTCATTTTTAAAAATGTAAAACCTTCTCGGGGGCCCAAATGTCGTTTTTAAAAATATAAAGCCTTTTAGAGGGCGCCAAATATCTTTTTTAAGAATGTGAAACCTTCTCGGGTTCCCAACTGTCTCTTTTAAAAGTGTAAAACCTTCTCGGGGGTCCCAACCATCATTTTTAAAAATGTAAAACCTTCTCGGGGGCCCAATTGTCGTTTTTAAAAATATAAAACCTTTAGGGGGCGCCGAATATCTTTTTTAAGAATGTGAAACCTTCTCGGGGGTCATAACTGTCTCTTTTAAAAATATAAAACCTTCTCGGGGATCCCAACCGTCATTTTTAAAAATGTAAAACCTTCTAGGGCGTCCCAAATGTCTTTTTTTTCAATATGAAACCTTCTCGGAGGTCCCAACTGTCTCTTTTAAAAATGTAAAACCTTCTCGGGGGCCCAATTCTTGTTTTTAAAAATATGAAACCTTCTCGGGGGCGTCAAATGTCTTTATTAAGGATGTGAAACCTTCTCGGGGATCCTAACTGTCTTTTTTAAAAATGTAAAACCTTCTCGGGGGCCCAATTGTTGTTTTTAAAAATATGAAACCTTCCAGGGGGCGCCAAATATCTTTTTTTTAATGTGAAACCTTCTCGGGGTTCCCGAATGTCTTTTTTTTAATGTGAAACCTTCTCGGGGGTCCCAACTGTCTTTTTTAAGAATGTGAAACCTTCTCGGGAATCCCAACTACCTGTTTTAAAAATGTAAAACCTTCTAGGGGGCGCCAAATATCTTTTTTTTTTAATATGAAACCTTCTCAGGTTGGCCCAAAATTGTCTTTTTTAAAAATGTAAAACCTTCTCGGGGTTTCCAATTTTTTTTTTTAATGTGAAACCTTCTCGGGGATCCCAACTGTTCTTTTTTAAAGAAGATGAAACCTTCTCGGGGCCCAAAGTGTCTTTTTTTAAGCATATGAAACTTCTCGGGGGTTCCAGCCGTCTCTTTTAAAAATGTAAAACCTTCTCGAACATTCCAACTGTCTTTTTTTAGGAATGTGAAACCTTCTCGGGGGTCCCAATTCTCTTTTTTAAAAATCCAAAACCTTCTCGGGGCCGCCAAATGTCTTTTTAAGAATGTGAAACCTTCTCGGGGGTCCCAACTGTCCTTTTTTAAGAAGACCAGTTTTTTGATTAGTTCGTCGAAATGTATTTCCTATTATTTAAGACGATTTTAGACAACTTTTAAAATGTCAATTTTTGAATACGTATGAATTTTGACCGTTTTTCGAGCATCATTCGAAAATTACCTTGTAGATTTTGACTTGTAGAAATTATTTTCAGCTGCATTTTTTCGAAAATTACAATTTTTCCAGAATCAATACTTGGAAAATTACAATTTTCAAATATTTAAAAAATAAAACATTATTTAAATAAATTGTACCACTAACAAATACTTTTTTAACTGTTTTCAGGAACTTAGGACACGAAAAAGCTGCAGTAATATTATTTTAACATGGCAAAAATGTAAAAACTGTTACACCTCGTTTAGCG